TAAAGATTTTTTTTAGTATTACAATAATTAAATATATGTTGAATTTATTATTTTTTAAAGAGATAAGGGTCAATTGGAATAAAAAATAAAAGTGAAGGACCCAATTGAAATAAAAAAAGATCAAACGCATTCTTTTGCGTTTGGACGCAAAATTGCGTCGAAAAGAAGAGAGAGACGATGGCTGACGGAAAATGAGATGGGATATGCCGCTCGGTTGGAGAGAATTGTACTGCAAATTTTGAGATTTGCAGTACGGTTGGAGACGGTCTAAGAAGCTTATGATTTAAATTCATCATGAATATAGTATATGTTATATTAAATTTAAAAGTTTTCCTGTCAAATTAATTTAACTTTATAATGTATGTTGCTAAATTTAATCGTTTATTTATATTTACAATAAATTTGACAAATACTTATAAAGATTAGTATTAAATAATAAATAAAAAACAATAATAAAGAATATCATTTTTTTGAAACAAATAAAATTGGTCTTTCAATATTGTCCGAACTCGCAAGGGGAAAATTTCACTGAGCTCCCTGTACTACGACTCGACCTCACTTTACTCCTCCATGTATTAAGTTCACTCTCTTTTACCCCAATATTTTTATCTAATTACACATCGCAGTCAATACTCTGTCTAATTTACCATTTGCACATCCTCTGCAAATTAACAAAGAAAATAGAAATTTCCACTAGGGTTTTCTGCAGAATTTCTCCTTCACATCTTCAATCCTAAACCCAATTTTTCGATTAACAAACACCGAATTAATGGTAGAAGGCGGAGGAGCTGCTGGGCCCGAACCGATTTCGGGGCCCAAACCCACCTCTTCGTACGAATCCTTCGGCGACCGTCTCCGGTTCACGGTGGAGCTCCGTCCCGGAGAAACTACCATCGTATCGTGGAAGAAGCTTCTGAAGGAGGCTACCTCCAGTAAGCCCAACGGACCTGGCCGATCAGCTTCGTTTCCGTTGCCGGATGCCCATCAGCAGCCGGTTTCTCATCCTTTGCCTCCGGTACCTGCGGTGGAATCTTCGAATCAGGTGGCGGAGAATGAATTTAAAGACTCACAAGCTCAGGCCGGGCCGAACCGTTTGAGCAATGTGATTGAGAAAATCGAGCGTATGTATGCGGTATGATTTTGATAAATTGATTTGATTTTGTATGCCAACTTATCAATTTTTTGTCCTTTGTTTTCTTATGAAGATTCAGTTTTTGATACTAATGTTTGGTGAATTTCAGGTTCAACAGTTAATCTTGTCTTATAATGTTTAGAATACTCATTTTTTTGTTCATCCAGGAGATTTTGTTTATATCTTGTAACATTATTAATGTGATTTTATAATCTTTTTAACATAACTGAGATGACATATTATTTATGAAAATGTTAATACTACATGGTATTGGGCCTACTGGCTATCTGTGCAATCTTCTAATTTTGTTGATATTGTATGTTGAACTTGTAGGGTAATGGCAGTAGTGAAGAGGAGGATGTTTTTTTGGATGATGTTCCCGATGATGATGATTATGATACAGATGATTCATTCATTGACGATGCCGAATTGGTGGGCTGCTGCTCTCTTTGATTGTGTGCATTGAATTGTGCATCTTCATTTTTCTATATCTTTTTTTTTTGAATTATTATTACTGGCGATAATTGCTGAGTAGTTTTTGATGAACCATAAACTCCGTGCAGGATGATTATTTCAAGATCGATAACTCATCCATAAAGCATGATGGATTTTTCGTGAATCGTGGAAAGTTGGAGCGCATGTGAGTTCCATTATCCGAATCCATGGGTCTTTGACATTGACAACCTACTTGCTTTTGGTGTTTATGACTGTTTCAGAATTTCGGAATCTTATCTTCTTTGTTTAATCTCTTCCTTGTTTCAGGACTAGCTCTTACTTGCTCTGTTTAATTTATTTTCTTTTTTCTCCTTCTCTCCCTCTTGTCGTTTCGTCTTCCTAATGTTAGTTTACTTATCTTGCAGTGAACCTGCCACAGCTGCAGACCCACAGCCAAAGAAAAGGAGACGTAAAGATGCTACCAAAGGGGAAAGTGGGAAAAATGATGTAGATAATCCAAAAAAACAAGTGAAAATGGGGAATAGAGGTAGAAAATCGAATGAAAGAAGCTCCACTAGTCAGCCACACAGAATGACGGCACCAAACATGCTAACTTCTGAAGTACCATCTGATCCTTCTCCATCATATGCTGCTGAATCATTAAAGAAGAACACTGTAGATATCCAAATAGCTATGAATCCTTCAGAACTTCCGAGCGGTGAAGGCATTAGGCAGAATAAGAATGCTGACCAGCAGACAACTAGAATTCTCACATCAGAGGACCATAATAGTAAACTGAAAGAGAGTAGGGAACTTCAAGAGCCGCCAGCTCAGGGGTCCAATAACAAAAATTTACATTTAAGCGAGTCTCATTCTGGGAAAAAACTAAATAATGGCGATGAGCTGGGTTCAACTATTCAACAGAAAGAGAAAGGTGGAATTGTTGGGAGATTTGACCTTAACGTCCCGCCTAGCGCTAGCATTAGCAGGGAACCACAAATTACAGTAAGCAATTCCTTCGTGTGCAATTCCTACAATTATTCCTTGATTGATTTAATATACTCAGTATGTTTAAAATTCTATCATGTAGGAACTACCTAAGACTTAATGTATTGTTTTCATCTTTCTCACTCATGATATTAACTGCATCATTTTATCACTGGCTTCATCACATGTATTGACAACTTGATGATGTACAGAAATGATAGAGTCTGATTTTTATGGATTTATCATCCCTAGAAAACATATCAAGTGGCTGTCATAGTCTGGTTTTGAAAGTTGAAAGGGATTAGTATAAAGACTTTGTTGCTACTTGATTCTGTATAAGGACAGAATACTTTAAACATGTGGCAAAAGATATGCTTGCTATTTGTTAGAATTGGTGAAATGTGTCTGAATAAAGGGGGAATCTAACTCACTTACTATGTTATAGATTTAATGCTTTCTTTGGTTAGGTATTGTTTGGAAAAGTGTTATTCTTTTATCTGCCTTCAAAGAAGTGACGCATGGAAATTTGTTTATTTGCATTATGTTTTATCTCTTCTTCATGTCTTAGCTCTTTTTTGTGCCTCAAATCGTATTAATTTTAGCAGAAAGGAAGTTAGTTATGAGTATTTTATTTTGAGTACTGATGTACTTTTGTTCTGTCTTTGTTCTATACATTTATCTTCATTGTTCTTGATAAAGTTGTTGTACTTTTTTCTCAGAAGGCTCCTCTCATGCCAAGAAAAGAAGGATCTAATGTTAGATCAAGAATCTCAATGCTCGAGAAGGCCATTCGGGAGTTGGAAAAAATAGTTTCTGAATGTATGTTACTAATTTTATTATTTCTGTTCTTTCCTTTACACCACAACTTGTGCCATGATATTTACTTTAGTGTATGCTGGTACCAACAGCTAGACCACCTTCTACTGAAGTCCATGATCCTGATAACTCTTCTCAGACAGTGAAAAGGAGATTGCCGCAAGATATAAAGCAGAAGTTGGCGAAAGTTGCTAGATTAGCGGTATTTCGAAGCTTATAAAATGTTAATTGTTCATATTTGTCACCGAACCATATACTTAATAATCCAATTGGAATTACATTTTCTGTTTTTTCTGAATCAGCATGCCAGCTATGGAAAAATACCAAAGGATGTGACCAATCGTTTGATGAGCATTGTTGGCCACTTAATGCAGCTTAGGACGCTGAAGGTATTTCCACATTAAGATCATACATTGCCATGTGATGATCATTCATGGATTAATGCTAATTTTACAACCTTCTATTCATTTACGATTTCGCTCATGCTCATCAAGTTTGACTTGTGTCAGAGAAACCTTAAAATCATGGCTAATTTGGGGTTATCTGCTAAACAAGAGAAGGATGATCGGTTACAGAAGATAAAACAAGAGGTTGCAGATATGGTCAGGCAGTGGATTCCATATATGAAGTCCAAGGTATGCCGTGAGAGAACTATTGGCAGACCACTATTATGATTTCCATTTTACCATGAATTGATTGCAGGCTTATATAATATATTACATAATATCTGAAATACTTTGCAGTTGGAGCATCAAAATGCTAGTTCAGATGATTTTCAAGGAGCTGCGCTAGAAGAGAAAGAAGCATTGAAACGAAAGTACAGAATGGATGATGCTCTGGAAAATAAGATTTGCGATTTATATGATCTTTATGTCGAGGTAATATAATACATCACATTTCTGCTATTTCCTTGAAGTTTTCACCTACATGGGTGTGTATGACTAGTTTGTCTAATTTACTACATCGTATTCATTCCAGAGACTAGAAGAAGACTCGGGCCCTCCTGTCAAAAGACTTTATGAAGAGGTAATAGTATACACTATACTATAGTTTGTGATTATTTGCTCTACAATAGGTTGCATGCTCTAGAAGAGATTTTGGGTCCTATGAAATAAAATTTGATGTTTTGCGTTTTTTCTGGTGCAGCTTGCATCATTGTGGCCTAGTGGAATCATGGACACTCATGGAATTAAACGTGCAATATATAAAGCTAAAGATAGGAGGAAGGCATTATCTAACCGGAGGAAGGTATGGTCTTTTCTATTTATTGCCCTTGTGTGTGTATATCTATATATTCATTTCTGAGTGAGAAATATAATTCAACTCCGATCATTATAGAGATGATGATAATGCAAACTTACTTACTGTAGATTGAAATTCTTGGTATATACTGACCTGTAATCTATTTTGCTCTTTGCTACGTATCTTTTAGAACCCTTTTCTCTCACAGCTCCAATAAATTTAGAATATGTTAATTATTCGAACGATGTATGCACTTCCTAGTTTGCCGTTTTCACTTTGGTTTGTTCTATTTTTTTGTGGCTATGATGATTAATTGAATGTTGACTATCAAATGTTGCACAACAAACATAAGAATCTTCAAATAATAAAACTACAGAACGAATAAAGAAAACGATCATAAGGTGAGCATTGAAACTCTAGTATTGCATTAAAGACATCGGTCATTTTCATGATGTTTGAGATGTCTTATGATGTCCTCTATGATTTTACACAGTCCAATCACCTCTCTCGTTTTTTCAATCTTTTTTTTTTTTTTTT